GTCGAGGTTGGGAGACCACTCTCTCCCGTCTTCGCATTGGCCATACTTGTCTTACTCATGGATATCTCGTGGAGAGGCGCCCTGCTCCTCTGTGTGAATTGTCAGGTTCCATTATCAGTCAGCCACATTCTGTTAGACTGCCCACTTTATCAACGAGCACGAAGAATTTACCTCTGTCGTCATCTTCGCTCAGCTGCTCTCTTTACCTTCCCTTCTAGCTGATGGACCCATCTTTCATCCACACTCATTGACTTTTTGACAACAACTGACTTACTTCACAAACTCTGATACCTTTAGCCCTTTCTACCTCAATCTCTTGCTACCCTCTACCTGCGAACTATTCTCTGCCCTGCTGTTTTCTGTAACCTACTGATCATCCTTGCCCCCTTCTGCTGCCCAATACCCTCGCTTCCTTCCCTACTCTGCAGTGCTGTATAGCCCTTGTGGCTTAGCGCTTGTTTTTTATTATAATAATAATATAGCAATATCGACCCTTCCCCCTCCCTCCCTCCTAACAATGCAGCTGAGTGAGTCAATGTAAACTGGGTCAGTTACCATTCCTTGGATCGAACCTATTTACCTAGCATTCTCAGGTGGTTGTATAACCTCTATGGAACTATCATGTCCTAATACAATAATTATAAGCATAGCTCTAGTAAACACCAAGTTAAATCAAATAAATCTTAGTTGTGACGATGAAAGAATTGACAGGAAATGAATGTTTGGTAGTGGGCAGGCTTTCAGCAAGTTTCTCTAACAGTTCTTACATCTTCTAACATGAGACACTCTAGTTCTGTTAGTCCATTTCCCAGGACTGCGTGACCGTCTTGCTGCTCTGATACACGTGCTTCTTTCTACGCACTGGCCCCCTCAAGGAAGGTTCCTTGATGTTGGTGAGGGGCTCTTGATTTAGGGAATTGGATCTGTGCTCCGTTCCCCGAATTAAGCCTGAATGCCTTCCACATCCCCCCCACAGGCGCTGTATAATCCTCCAGGTTTAGCGCTTCCCCCTTGATTATAAAAATAATAATTCTACGCACTGGCAGTATCCCACCAAGGTGGGGTGGCCCCGAAAGGAAAAACGAAAGTTTCTCCTTTTAAGTTTAGTAATATATACAGGAGAAGGGGTTACTAACCCTTGATCCTGGGATTTTTTGTCTCGTCTTACGACACGCATGGCTTACGGACGAAGAATTCTGTTCCATTTCCCCATGGAGATACACAGCGGCGGGGGGGCTGATTCAAAGCCTGCCTGCCTGGTATACTTCTTATACAGAGATTTTTTTTCTTCTGAGTATTCGACAATATTAAGAAAAATGGCTTGTTCGCCCAAATTTGCTGTACTTCACAAACCTTTTATGTACAAAATGTTGTGGAAATTTAAATTTACCTGGATGTAACTCATAAGGTACCCTACCAGTAAATGGTAACAAAGATAATTATTATTTATCAAAGTTACATAGACAAGTAGGAATTTTGAGACGCCTAGGTTGCAAAAAAGTGTCCCCCTTCGATACCCACAACTGTCATATCCACAAGTTGCTCTTGACCTTTTATTAATTGCAAATGAAATATAAAATCATCAGGAATTCTGGTTTAAAATTTAATATAAACATGTGAACTGTATATTAAATTAATGATTACATATTACACATTTTATGTTTAAAAGAAGGAGAATTTTTAATTATAACACTCGCCAATTAGTATGGAGATTACATTGTGTCATATACAGAACCCCCTCTACCTAAATTTTTAATGATAATACTGGCCAGAATTACAAACACAATTTAGATAGCTTATCTGAGGTTCCTGGAGCTGTCTTGTCCATCTGCTTAATGCTCAAATTATGCAGGACTGCACATCCAACAATTTCAGCTCCTATTTGAGAGGTTTTAAGCCCAATATAACCCCTAGAGCGACGAAAATTATACGCATTACATTAACGTGTTTGTATCACATTAATAAAAAATGGCGTCTCTCCCTGCCCCCCAGCGCAGGCGCAGAACTTCCCTCTCGAGTCTTTTTCATTTACTAATTAATTTTTATTAAATACAATGTATTACACTAATTTTCATAAAAAATACACTCTGAATTTTTCGGAAAATACATTGTTTTCCACAACTGTACTTAGTTTACATTGAAATTTAAAGCACAAAGGCCTACCAGAAGTTTAGTGACTGGTACCATGGTATCTAACAGCTACCTTGTATGAATGTATTAACCTGGCCAGGCAGCCTCGTGGCTGCCAACGAATGAATCACTTCAGAGTATCAATACAATTGCCGGGGAATTTTTGCTGGCTTCTGCAACTTCCTGCGTGTTGACAACTCCTTTACTGTATTATTGCCAAATTGATCTGCGCATTGCTAACTACACCTAGACGAAATATTCCATTGATTAGCAAGTGATAACTGGCAAAAATTTCCCTTGCAATATAAGTGGCACCCCACCATACACCAGATAAGTGGATAATCACATTCTGTTCAGTCTAAAATCTGCTGATCTCTGTATCACATAAATCTCCTGATTCCTTGACTCTCTCAATATCTTGTTTAACATATGGTTTGATTTCTATACTTATTTTTCATGCATTTCTGAAACAAATTTGATGGGTTGACTAAATTAATTTAACCCACTTTTGAATTTAAGTATTACTTGAGAAAAATAGTCCAGGGATAGTCATTGAGATCACTAATGTCTTTGAACTTATCCTGAGTATTGGCAAACTATCAACTAGTTATTCTAAAGAATTGTTATCGCTGGATGGTGACTAATGTAGATTTAAATTCTCTCCCATCCTGCCTTCCTGTACATGTTCACTGGTTCTGCTCACATTCCTCACATTGATGTCGAAATCAGTTTTTCTGCAGAATGTTGGTCGAGCACAATCAAAACTTGTAAATATTGTTCTTTAATTAAAAGTTAACTGATATAGCATCACTTGACACATGTCAGCTGCTCTACCCTGCTTACAGTAACTCTCAACGTAGGTTTAAACTACCATGCAGCTGCCGCAGCAGCAAGATGCCGGCGGCAGCTACGGAATACACCGTCGAATTTTGACGTATATATTAACCAAGACTCGCACCTTAACTTAAAAATAAAGCTCCAGGCACAAGATCTTTTCTTTTAGGAAATGAAGATTACGAGAAAATATCTTCAGAGTTTGAAAGATATAAACTTGATATTCAAACACGAGTTATTTGAGGTGCTGAAAGAGTAGGCTAGTAGAATAGAACAGCATAAGTTGTAAGCAATTATAACAGCAGGAACAAACTACCAAACTAATGTAAGTGCAATGCTAATAGTCGTTCAAGAACCAGCTGGATAAGTACTTGTTAGGTACATTATTAAACTTGCTACATTGTGTTCTAGCGGTAGCAGTTAGCAGAGCCTTGCCGACATGCTGGCTCTGTATTAATCTATAAAGACTGCTGGGTCAGCTCAAAATGTTTTTTATTAGAAAACAGAAATGAGCGAGTGCACACATTGTAGTGGGGTACGGTAAGGGAGAAACTGTGCCCAGTACTCGCAACCTCGTTCAACTTGATAAACAAATACTGTACTGAACTCGTACAAGCAGTTATCAACATAGACTAGATGAGGGCAGTCTGAAGCAAACGAAGACTGACATTTATTCATCGATAATAAATTGATAACGGAGAAAGTGGAAAATATATTCTTAACAGAATGGTGGTAATCAGAAAGACGACCCACTGGTACACAGTTCTGAGTGGCAGTGTAGTATTAAGAGCCACTGGTACAGTTCTGAGTGGCAGTGTAGTAGTAAGAGCAGCATGATACTCGTACTAACTCAGTACTTGTAGGCCTCATTTTCCAGCCATTTGCATCTCTTCCGTAAATTTAATGTTTTCTAATGTATTAGTATTCTACCCCCCCCTAAATCCCCCCTCTCCTAGGCCGCCATTGGCTAGAGGGTGAGGAGAGCCTTGTGCATTCCTATCCATGACTGGTAGACACGCTATAAAACAACCGTAATCTAGGTAATGTAGTTCTCAGCAGGATGACCAAGTGTGGAAAATCTTGTCAATCGGGGGTAACAGAAGCAGTAACCATCACAAGGGTATCAGCAGATATCTACACCACTGTCAGACACATGGTTCTTGTGGTGTTGACAGACTGTCAATATGCAGAATAATTAATGTTTGTAGGAACAAGTTTGCTCATAAAAAATGATTTTTTGTATTAACCTGTAAACTGAAGAACTTTCCTGTAAGTTGATAGACAAAGTTTTTATATTAAAAAAAAAAATTGTTAACTGAGATATTGTTGTAACTTTTAATGGTTTCCATTATCAATAAGAGTTTTACATTTTTCTCCGTCTGAGCAGGGAAGTGTTGAGGTGGTGTAACCAAGTGTGAAGTACAGAAGTTTGTTTGTCGCTGCAAAAATCTTTGGTCCCCAGAGATGGTACCAGTGGTCAAGTTCTTACTAGCTATTTGAATCCTGTCTATGGTGAGGCTGCCTAGCTAGCGAGAACTTTGAAGGGATGCAACTGTGTGTGGGAGGGAGGGTTACGTGCGGTGCAGCTGTGTGTAAGGGGGCGGGGTAGGCCTTTCCGCTTTTATCACAGGTCTCACAATTTCCAGAGTGCTTATACACCTCGAAAAAAGTGATTATACTTTAATTTTATGTTTAAGTGATACTGGTTATTTTAAGTGGTGATGAACCCTGGCAATTAACTATCTAATGTCCTCTAGTTGATGGAGATTAGTTTAGTGCTAATAAATTTAGTGAATATTTTAGTAATTTTGGGAACATGATTTATGAGAATTGCTGCATTATATAAATGAACTATTTGCCCGAATTAGCAAATTCCCTTTTTTTTCCACTTTGTTTGGGTGGAGTGGAGAGATGATGGGGACGAGGTAAAGTACACGGTGACCTGCTGCCCAACCCTCGGGTCATCAGTCTCCTGGCAAGTCTCGTGCCTTCTGCTGCTCACACTCGACACAACTCCTGTTTATGCAGAGGTCAGTTTATTGACCAGGGACTACTCTATCACCACTGTCAGCAAAGGTGAGGCATGTTACGAACTTGATTACGTCTTTTTCCGGTTATCAGGGGAACAAAGTATTTTTTTGCAGTGCAATAAAACTGTCAAAGCTTCGAGGCATAAATGAGTTTGCTGAAAGATACGATTCTGAAAATATTTAATCAACTAGACAATTATATATTTTTAAGACGTCATGATTGTAGTACTGTATAGTGTTGAGGGCAGCGGTTTCCATTAGTAGTCGACGAGCTATTTCATGAAATATTCGTCTGAACATTAAAATGGTATAAAATACCGACAGGTTGTTAGATAAGACACAAACCTCTTCAAGGGGGGCTCCTTGGAGTGGTGAAGAGGCTCTTGTTCTAAGGAATTAGCCCTGTCGGTCTTCTTCCTCAGACCGAACCTAATTACCCCCCATTCTCCCCTCCCCTATCCCATCCTCCCCATCCTCCCCTTTTTCCATTCCTCCTCCTCCTCCTCACCCCTCCCTTTTGCCCTTCCTCTTTTTGGCCTTTGGGATTTCTCCCACGGGCCCGCTAGTTCCTAGGTAGGGAAAGGACACTGGGGTCCATCCCATTCCGTTGAGGTTCTTGGCGGTGGTGTAGTTTGCCGTGGAATCGGTTTGCCTGGGGATGTCCCGATCCCTCTCCGGTATCCGGAGTAGCTATGGGTGTCTTTCGGGCGACGGGTGTATCTCTGGAAGCCACCTTTCGGATTCCGGGGGTGGTGGCCCGAAGGAGGAAATGCTTTGTGGCGGATATCTGGCCGCCCTCTTTTGTCCACCGAGGTAGCTCGGCAGATGTGAGGTTGCTATCCCGGATTGCTGGTTTACGGGCATGAAGGGTAGGTATGGCACGGGTTCCATGCTGCATCTGCGCTATTAGGGGTTGTTGAGGTCCTCTTGGGTTGCGGAGGGAGATTTCCGGCCCTTTCATTCCTCCTGGGAACTATTCCTCCCCGCTCCCCCTTTTTTTATTCTTTTTTTTTTTATTTTCTTTTTTTTTTTTTCTTTAAAAACAAAAAGCAAAGGAGTAACCTAACCTGGCAGCCCTAGTTCATCAACCCACTACCCCCGGGCCCCCCTTCTTGATACCGTACCCCATTCTGACCCTTTTGCCTTGTGTTTAGACCACTCTTCGGACACTCCTGATGCCCCTGTAACCTCTTGCGGTGCTGTTTCCTCACCTGCTTCAGGTACCGGGGCTTCGACTGACTCCTTTGTTTTTGTCTGAACTCCGCTCTCCTTTGACTATGCTTCCGCTTCTCCCTCTCGGTATGGCAATTTTCGAATCGCCCGCCCATTTCACGCCGGACCAACCCCGGTCCTACTCCTAAAGCCAACGTAAATCTCCTGATGATGCTCTCGTTCCCTTTCCCATTCTACTCGGAAAAGACCGACACGTAAAAGCACTCCTCCCCAAAGCTCAGTTTTGGACCACACAATGGACTAAATTCTTTACTTTAAGACCTACTTTTTCCCTTCTGCCTACCTTTTGACCATAGTATTGGCAAAGCGCTCCTCGTCATGTTGGTAGAGATATTTCATTTCATGCTCCCCAGAGCGGTATGCACATCGTCACTGCCCAGAATGCTGCCCAAGCTCATGATCTTTCTCTCCTTTCGAATATTGATACTACTTCCTGTCACTATTGAAAAACATCTTTCTCTCATTCTTGTAGTGGTACTGTCATTCGGGCCTCATACCAAGTCCAACAGAATTTCCAGTCATGTGGCAATGACATTTTGAACAGTTTGGAAAACTCCAGGGATCTCCCAATCCTCAAAGTACACACTTATGTCCTTCCCTGCCCGGGGGCGGAGACGTTACCCTTGCAATGTGGCTCGTTTAACTTTTGACAGCCGAAACTCCCGTCCTCTGTATATGTCGCGGGACATCGGTTACAAGTTCGAAAGGTGATACCTACACCGCAACAATGTAGAAATTGCTGGCTTTTTGGTCACCCAGCGAAATATTGCAGATCTATGGCCGAATGCCCAGTCTGTGGTGCCGACGACCATTCTAATCATCTTGCAGTCAACCTCCTTTCTTGCCTTAATTGTAATGAAGCTCACCCTTCGTACTCCCGCCGTTGCCAGGTCTACTTAAATGAACGTAAATCTTTTGCCTCAAAGAGGCAGGTCTCCCTTATGCTAATGGCAGTTATCATCTCCGCCCCCAAGGGAGACTACCCCGTGTTTCTATTCTCGTTTTTCCCAACATCCCCCCCCTTCTGGGGTCCCATCTTCTGCAGCCTCCTCTTTTTGTTACCCCCCCCCATAGCCACTACGGATCTAATCCTTTTGCTGTCCTTGGCTCTGACGTCCCGACTACAACTCAGTCTGTTCTCACATCTTCGCGTCCTTCCTCACAAGCCCAGTATCGACAAGACCTCGTATGACACCCAATACCAATCGCCCCTCTACTCAAAAGTCCAAAAAATCCACATTGCTCAAATCTTCTTTCCCCCTTTCCCTTTCCCCTTCTTCCACCTCCACACTTTACTTTTCCAGTCTTGTACCTAGTTCTTCCCCTCTCTCTGGCTCTATTACAAGTGTGGAGATTCACTCTCCTCCTCGTACTATCCCCTTCCACACCCGTCCCCTCCCAAGTTTCTCCCTCTTCTGCCACCTCCCGGGTTTCTGCCTCTTCTGTCTCCCCCCACACTTCATCTCCAGTCCCTTACACTTTTTCCCTCCCCCTCTACTTTGGTACAGTCCATTACTGTCCCAATCTTTACTCACCCTCCTCCTTCTATCTCCAATATGGCCCTCCCATACATCTTTGAATTCAGAAACACTTGAAGCCATTTCAGAATATTTTGGGCAGAGACAAAAACCTTCAATGGACACTGATTCACTTCCTTTTTCCTTCTCTTCCCTCTCCTCCATCTTCATAACCCCATTCTTCGCAACGCTCCGTTCCTTCGCTACTTGAACGTTTCCCAATGCCACCACACGTTGACTTTTCTAACCCCTCTAGTCCGTAGGTGGCCTTTACCTACAGTTTCCCTGATATTTTCTTCATCGCCAATCATGGCCTATTTACAGTGGAATATCCGCGGCCTCAGGGGTAAAACGGGGTGAGCTTTAGATGTTGCTTTCCAGGTTTTCCCCTGTTGGTGCTTGCTTACATGAACCAAAAATTACACTCTGCTGTTTTCCAACCTATCTCAGGCTATAATTTATTGTATTCTTCATCCTTTCTCAGATGGGACCTTTAATGAAAGTGCCCTTCTACGCAATGATATTTTCCCTACTGTCAACTATTTGTCCACACCTCGCTGCATTACACTGCAGCCCGTATCCACTTGAATAAGTGGTTTACAATATGTTGTTTAATTTTCTCTCTACTTCTCGAGCATTTTCTATTCCCAGACTTTGCCTTTGTTTCATCCTTGCCACCAAACCACTTCTGTTACTTGGTGATTTTAATGCCCACCATTTCCTCTGGGGGGGGGTCATTGTGACTCGCGTGGCATTTCCCGTTGGAGGCTTTTCTCGCCTCTCGCCCCTCAAAGTTTTAAATACGGGTACTCCCACCATTTTGATCCTCGTACTCATACTCTCTTGCATCGATCTATCAGTCTGCTCTTCCTCCACTGCACTAGACTTCACCTGGTCTGTTTCTACCAGACTTACATGGGCAGCGATCATTTTCGATCATTCTTACTTCTCCTTCCTATTCACCACCTTTCCGTAAACCCTCGTGGCAATTTGATCGGGCAAATTGGGATCTTTACTCACACCTCATGCTTTTAGTGAGGTTCCTTCTTCATCCTCCATTGATGAGCTCCTACACATCTTCTCGACGTCAGTTTTACCGCAGCTTCTCATTCTATACCCCAAACCTCAGGCAGGCATTCTCAGAAGTGCGTGCCTTTTGGTGGTCTCCTGCTTGTGCTCGTGCAGTACGTTTGAAACGTGCTGCATGGGGCAGGTACCGGTACAATAGAACCGCTGAGAGGGCTTCTTGATTTTTAAGCGAAGCGTGCGATCGCTCGCCGTGTCATCCGTGAAGCTAAATGCACTTGTTGGCGAGACTGTTTCCACCATCACCTCTGCTTTCTATGAGGCAGTCTGGAAAAAAGTGAGGAAAATTTAGTGTTAAATACTCTCCTGACCCGGCTCCTGTTCTACGGGGCGCTGGTGTTGATGTAGCAACTCTCTCGACGTTGCCAAATTTAACTTGGCCCACATTTTGGTCCGTATTCCCGATGGCTCCATCTATGCCCTTCGTTTTTTCATCAAAGTCTGCCAGAGAGTTAGTACCCTTGGACTTTCTTCTCTCAGAGAAGAACAGTAAAATGTGCCTTTTACACTTCAAGAACTGGGGCAACGCTCTCAGCTTGCGTCATCGGAAGCTGGGCCAGACGACATTCATATTCGTATGTTACAACATTACATCGGTCAGCCCTTGTAGTCCTCTTACACCTCTTCAATCTTATTTGGCACAAGGAGTTTCTTCCCCAGCTGTGGAAATCTGCCATTGTTCTCCCTTTCCCAAAAAACCCGGGGACTACAGGACGTGATGCCTCCCCCTTATCGCCCCATCGCTCTTACTAGTGCAGTTTTCAAAGTGATGGAACGTCTCGTAAATCGACTTTTAATGTGGTATTTAGAGACACAAAAACAGTCTCTCCGCTAGTCAATATGGCTTTCGTAAGGGTCGTTCTACCATAAAACCCCTTACTACGCTTGATACGTGTGTTCGTAATGCCTTTGCGAATAATCACTCAGTTATTGCCATATTTTTTGACTTTGGGGAAGGCATATGACACAACTTGGAGGTATAATATTTTGGCCCAGGCCCATTCCTTAGGCCTCCGAGGCAATCTACCATCCTTCCTTAAGAACTTTTTAACTGACAGACATTTCCGTGTTCGAGTCAATAATGTTCTTTCCCCGGACTTGTCAAGCTGAAAGGTGTCCCTCAGGGATGTGTTCTAAGCACAACACTGTTTCTCATTGCTATAAATGATTTTGGGCCCGTTCTTCCACCCAAAATTTGGTTCATCACTCT